GTTTATTAAACTAAAATGTTACTTAAACGTTTCAAATAGCCTAACAACAGCAATTTGCAAGAATTACCTTTTTTTGTAACATGTTCTGTTCATAACGTTATTGATCTCCCTCATCCACTTAAAGATTGCAAATAAAATGTATCTTTTTGCTATTTAGTTGAAAACTTTATTTAATTTATTGGGAAAAGAGACTTTCTGCAGCTGTCTCCCATCTCAGAGAGACTGCAGAGTAACCTGGTAACAAGGTCAGATGACACCAAACTTGTACAAAGTTCCAATGAAAAGCAAGTTGACCTCCTAATGTTCTGCAACTTAAAAAGGCATTTGTTTGAGGTATTATTTGAGCAGCAAAAAGTATTACCTTTTACCTCATTATTATGCTTTCATCCAGATAAAATATATGTGTGCAGTCTGATGTGTCAGTTTCCATATTGCTACTGGTAGATTGCAAGGATTAAGGGGGATTGCAATAGTACTTTACCTGCAGCTTGGGCCATATTCCAGGTATATGAATTCTGACTGTGCCGAAAGTAAGAGTACCTGCCAGTGGTTTCCACCAAGGAACAGACTTAAAGTTCTTGCACCTCAGAGATAGCATAGGGGAAGTCTTCTAACAAACCACCCAGAAGAAACATCACAGAAAACAGCTTGGTATGTGATAATTTTCTTTAATGTGTATATAATCTCATTTTACATTATATTACTATAAACCAATTTTCTTTGAAATAAGTCTACAAAAATCTTCATTAATGGATTCTGAAAATATTTAAGTGAGATACTTAAAGCTAAAGGCATATTTGACATAAGAAGATTTATGTAATGCTCCCGTTGATGATCAGAGGGTCTATTGAACATCTTTACCATGATATCAAGATATTATTCAGTTGAAGGAGTATATATTGAGAACCTCAACTCATTCCAGCATTCACTGGTCTTCTTTGGGATTTGAGGTGACATCCAACAACTGCCATGAGGTAGGTGGTCTGAAGAAGGACACTTTGTTGGCTTTCTGTTTTGTTCGCTTTAAACAGTAAACTGAACTCTACTTCCAGGGTGAAGCTTCAATATTACCCTCAGTATCACATCAAATTTTAACTCCTGCATAACCCCTGCGGGGTGGCACACAGATGTAGAGAAAACTTCTGGTGCAGATGTAGGCTCTGCTGAAGATAGTGGATGCTGCTATGTAACATACCGTAAAAGCCTCATTACCTGCTGTGCATATTGATGCAGTTCAGCAGGTGTTTTACTTCTGCCTTTATTCATATCAATCTCTTTTGGTTTCCATATTTTTAAAAATACTTTTAAAATGTGCAGCTGATATGTGCTGTGGCACTTACTAGCCAGACAATCATAGAATATGCTGAGTTGGAAGGGATCCAACAGGATCGACAAGTCCTGGCCCTATGCAGGACACCCCCAGAATCACACCATGTGCCTTAGAGTGTTTTTCAAAAACTTCCTGAATTCTGTCAGGCTTGGTGCTTAACCACTTCCCCGAGGAGCCTGTTCCAGTGCTTAACCACCGAGTGAAAAAAGTTTTTCTAATATCCAAACTAAACTTCACCTGACACATCTTCATACTGTGCCCTTGGGTCATCAGAGTGAAGAGATCACTACCTGCCCCTCTGCTTCCCCTCACTGCGCTGTAGACTGCAATGAGGTCTCCCCTCAGTATCCTCCAGACTGAACAGACCAGGTAACCTCAGCTGCTCCTCATATGGCTTTCCCTCCAGATCCTTCACCATCCTCACTGTCCTCTTCTGGACACTCTCTAATAGCTTAGTATATTTCTTATATTGCAGTGCCCAAAACTGCACATGATATACAGGGTGAGGTCGCAGAGCAGAACGGGACAATCACCTCCCTCAACCAGCTGGCGATGCTTTGCCTGATTTCCCCCAGGACATGGTTGGCCCTCCTGGCTGCCAGGCCATGGTAGTATGCAAGTCTTTGTTGTGTATGGATTTTTAACATCAATTCTGATCCCTTCTTAGATCTTTTCATTTTAT